GTTCTGCTTCAGCGGCCCAGGGTTTACCGGTTCAGATCCCGGGTGCGGACATGGCACCGCTTGGCACTCTATGCTGTGGAAGGCGTCCCACATATAAAGTAGAGAAAGATGGGCACGGATGTGAGCTTAGGGCCGGTCTTCCTCAGCAAAAAGAGGAGGATTGGCGGCAGATGTTAGCTCAGGGCTAATCTTCCTCAAAAAAAAAAAAAAAAAAGAAAGAAAGAAAGAGAAAAGAGTTAGTCCTGTGTTGGATGTGGACAGCATCCAACACCAAGTAAAGGCCCACTTCCTTGAACTCCCCAAGCACCGAACACAAGTTCCAATCCTGTAGCGAGGCCTTCCTAAGCACCCTCACGGAGCTCCCCACCACGGTGAGCATCCTTCCTTGTTGCAATGTGGCAGGTGACAGGTACACGTGGTCCAGGCAGCCTTTGGCTGGTGGGCGCTGGTGGGATGATGTCACGGCACAAAAAGGAGGAGGAGCTCTTCCCCCAGAATCCCCCGTGGAGGAGACCTTCAAGCTGGGTCTGGAAGAATAGATAGAGGCCTGCCAGGAAAACTGAGGAGGAAGGGGATTCCAAGCAGAGGGAACAGCCTCAGCCAGGAACCAGGGCACCAATGCCGTGACTGCCCTCTCGCCATTTTCTCTTGAAGACATGGGGATGCTGCCTCCCAGAATCTCTATTCTCTGTCCCCCCAGCCCAGCTGGGTGCTCCCTGCTCCAGCCCCGTCTTCAGTGAGGGGCAACACCGCATCCTCCTGGAGCATGGAGAGTGCCCCGCTCGTACTCTCCTGCTTAAAAGCTGTTGGCTTCTCGAGGGCCTAGATGATACAGGCCAGACCCCTCACTCAGGTTTCACGAGCCAGCAGGACCCCAACCACACCATGCTGCTCCATGCCTCTTCCCTGAACTCCTCCCATGCCCGCCCCTGCCAAGCAAAGTTGCTTCCCCTTCCTGGGGCCACTGTCCCCCCCCCCACCCAGACCTCGCCTGCCCCTTGGTTATTGCCTTAGCAGGTCTGCCTCCCCAGTCCACCTGTGTGCCCCCAGGAAAAGGGGCAGCGCCCAGCCCAAGGCTCGCCCAGAGCAGGGGGGCTGGGATGCTGACAGAGAAATTCTAGACCAGAGCAGGGATTTGCAGCGAGTTAGGCCTGGGCTTGAGACTCAGCTCCACCCCTTTTCCCCGTCACCGGCCACCTCTCTCCAAGCCTCAGCTTGCTCGTCGGGCGAATGGGAATCATTGTCCGGTTGTTGAGAGGACTCCTGAGATGACGTATGTGGCATCAGCATGCGACACTCAAATTCACTGACTGAGTGAATGAACAAATGGTTGGCGATGGCCTTGTGTCACTTCTGTCATCTCAGACCCTGAGTTCCAGGTGGCCGGGACTGTGCCTTCCTCTAGGTCCCTTCTAGCTCCCAGACACTGCTAGGCTCCCAGTAGGTGCCCATTTCATATCGACTGATGGGGGATTAAAATCCCCGAGAGGGAAGAGGAGGAGAATCAGGTCACAGGGGGCCCAGGACAGATGACAGAGGCTGGCCTCACGCAGAGGAGGCTGACGATGCGGTCAGGGCCCCAGGGAAGGGGAGAGAAGCCGGGGCGGTTGGGAGGCCTTTATCCCACCTCCCTGCTTCCCACTTGGTCCTCCGCACAGCAGGGAACACAGTAAGAGCTTAATGCACGTCTGTTCCATAGTGCACGGGCTCCAGGCTGAGCCCGCTGTGGGTGCGAGTTCCAGGCCAGCTCTGTGTCACGGAGCCCTTTGCTGGGCTGAGCGTATTTCATGTCTGTGAACTGGGGACGGCAACCCTGCCACGTGGAGTCATTACACCGTCAGCAGTCATGGCCCCGGCCTCCTCTGCTCCTTAGCTGACCCTGTAAGGTGCGTGCGGTCACCTTTATTTTACAAGTGGGGAAACTGAGGCTTGAGTGTTAAGTCCCTGGCCTAGGGCACAGAGCTAGGTGGGCCGGGTGGGGGAGGCTTCAAGTCCCGGGAAGGCCATCTTCACAGCTTTCAACCACCAGCCAGCCTGGCCCAGCGGGTGGTGCTGGTGCCACCGTCAAGGGAGGGGACCAGAGGAGGAGTGGCAGAGAGGGAGGGAAGATGGCGAGGTGGGGTTTGGCCCAGAGGGGTGAGGAGGTGATGTACTTCTCTGCCTGTGAGCGGTCACTGTGGCAGGGCCACAGTTCCACCTGGAGACGAGGGCACACTCTCCACTCCCAGGAGTGGTGGAGGACAGGCTTTGGTGACAAGCCTGGGCCGAGCCAGAGACCTCAGAGCTGGTGGGAGATGGGCTTGCACCAAAAGGAGAGGTTGTCAGGGACCATCCACCACAGCGAGCTGGGTCAGTGGTGACAGAGGTGGACTTCCGAATGGGGGGCAGACTCAGGGCTCATGAAGACCCCTGGGCGGGAGCCTGACGCTTGTCCCCCAGCAGCTGCGGCCCCTGGTGCCCGCCTCGTCTCCTCCCTCACACACAGCAGCCCAACCCGGACTCCGGCGCGGGAGTCAGGTCCCCGGTTGCCATAACAACCGATCCCGACGGTAAAAATAGTAACTTATTTCTTATTCAACTTCTTTTGCTCTTGGAGAAAAAGAAAATCCATTTTTAGGCTTATATTTCCTTTTGGGGTCTCCTCTGGGGCCCTGCTGAGCCCACTGCCAAAACCCGCCTGAAGGTCACCAGCAGGTGGGGCCCGGAGAAGACCAGTGGGCCAGGAGCCTGGGGACGTCCAGTCCCAAACCCATGGCTCCCCCAGCCTCTGGGGAGCCGTGGTCAGCAGTGGACGCCCTGAGCTGGGCCTGGACTCCCCAGGAAGGCGGGGTCACAGGGGACTCCGGCCCCTGGGGGCTTTCGCCTCTGCAAAGCCAGCAGGGACCTTTTTGGGAAGGGAGGTAGAGGACAATGAGAAGGTGTCGCTGGCACCTGGAGACAGTGAGGCACAGGGCGGGATTCAGAGCAATGGTGGTGGAGGGCAAGGTCAGGGAAGAAGGCATGAAATGCAGGGCATGGCCTTACCCGCTTCGTTTGACGGTTTGACTTCCGGCTCCTGAAGGTCTGAGAAACCCTTGGAATGGGAGCAATGAGCTCAGAGCCTGGAGAGCCGGATTCCAGGGCAGGTTCCGCCTCTCAGGCTGTGTGACCTTGGGAGGGTCCCCCCGTCCCTCTCAGCCTCCCTATCCCTCCTCCAAACGAGCGACATGAGGCGCTGTCAGTACAGCTGTGAGCCTCGTCCCTTCTTCGCCATGACTCTCAGTAAGAAATACATCTTCCATCCCAACCAGGACACAAACGTACACAAACCACGGCAGCAAAAGTCTCCTGAACGTGACTTGCTGCGTACGCCGCCCTGCAGGTCGTCTCTGTGTCATTTTCTTTTTCAATGCTGCTCACCCCTTGGTGGACTCCAACATCTCCTGGGACGGCGCTGTCCTGCAGAACCTTCTGCGGTGCTGGAAATGGTCCGATACAGTAGCCACTGGCCACACGTGGCTGTTGAGCACTTGGAATGTGGCCCGCGTGACCCAGGAGCTGCGTTTTAACTTTCATTTCATTTTACGTAATGAGGAAGTAAATGGTTGCGTGAGGCTGGTGGCTATGATTTTGGAAGTCGCACTTCTAGTAAGTCCAGATGGGCCATTTGAAACTCATGGCTCAAAGGGAAGCTTGCGGCTCAGCCCTCCCACCCCTCCTCGCTGGGTGGGCTTCCTGCCCTGCCAGACCCTCTGGCCCACAACAGACTATCCCCTGGGCCTTCCACTCACACCAACCTTGACCTCAAGGTCACCTGGCCCAAACTCTGATCTTCTCTCATCACCCTGCTGGTCCCCCTCTGGCCATCCCCCCAACCCCTACCACACCTCTCAAGTGGCACCAATACCCACCCAGCAGGGCCAGCCAGAAACCCAGCAGTCGCCCTGACTCCTCTGTTCCCCCACTTCTAATCCATCAACAGCATCTGGCGGGTTTCACCTGAAAACGTCCCTGGATCCCTTCTCTAGTCCTGGCCTCCAGCCCTCCCTCCGGCTAGCCACACTCTCTCCCCACTGGGAGCCCTGCGGTGGCCTCTGACCACATGGACCAGCAACCCTCTGGTCCTCAACCTATAACAAGTGTGTGTGCCCACAGCGTCCCAGCGTCTGGAGAGCAGAAATGAGTTCACTGGAGTCCCTTTGTCTTCCTTCTTTGTCTTGTTCTAGCTACTTTGGGGCAGAGGGCGTGGGTAGGATTATTTTCTTAAAGTGTAGCAGGATCTCAAACAAAGCTGGTTATAAAAAGGAGCAGGGAGCTGGGCTTGTGACAGAGAGGTGGGGAGGAGGGGGACGTGTGCGCTGGGAAGAAGGGGCCTGCTCTTCAATTTGGGGGGGTGTCCTTCCACTTTGAAGGCTGGTCTGCCTCCAGGCGCCCCCAAGAGTGTCACCCCTTCCAGTAGGGGTTTCCCAGAGCCCATAACCGGGCCGAGGTCTCCTAAAAGAGAAAGCTGGACTTCGTAGAAGCAGCAAAGGGAAGTGGGCAGACTCTGGGTACGCTGGAATTCGGCGACCAAATGCGTGCGCCCCTGACTCGGGGTCATGAGGGTCCTCAGAGTCCCAGGGGCTCCCTGGCGCCGTCGCGTCTCGCAGGCACACCGAGGCAGTGGGGGGGAGCGCGAGCTACAAGTACGCGGTGGGGCTGGCCACGCGGGGGGCTGCACGGCGGGGCGCGGGCGGTGGCGGCTCCCCGTGCAGCTCAGCCCGGGCCGGGGGACAGCGGGGCTCCGTCCAGCCCAGGGCATCTTCTCGCTCTCCAAACTGCGGGCAGCGGGGACACGCGGAGAGAAAGAAGGGGCCGCATTCGGAAGCCCCCCTAGTCCCCCCATTGCTCCCCCATCGCCCCCCGCCACCAGCCCAGCCGGGGCAGGAGGGGCCGCCCCCACGGGGAGGTGGGAGGGGGCTGGGGCCTCGGGGCCGAAGGCGATTGGCCCGGAGGCCCCCCGGCGCGCGCCCGCCCATCTGCTCGGGATTTGGCGGCGGCGGCTCGGCCCGGCCGGCCGGACGCTGATGGAACGGCCGCGATGTTCGCTCCCCGGCTGCTGGATTTCCAGAAGACCAAGTACGCGAGGTGAGCGGGGCGCGGGGCGGGGGCGGCTGCGGCTCTCTCGCTGCCCCCACCACCTGGAGAATGCCAGGCGACAAATGGACCCCAACCCCGGCCCGAAGAAGCCAGGAGGGGTTGGAAGAATTTGGGGGTCTCTGCAAGAATCTCCGCGCGCGGCTTTGCGCCCTGGACCCGGAGCAGCGCGGTGCCCAGCGCCACCTCTCTTAGCGGGGCCCCTCCGAGGGGAGCCGCTCCGCCTCTCTGAACCTCAGTTTCCAGGGCTGCTAAACTGGGGGTGATGAGAGCCCCATGCCCGGGGCCCCGCGAGGATTAAGTGAGATGCCTCTGAAAAGCGCTTTGCATGGGCCCGGAGGAGAGTAATCGCTCAAGGTCTGCCCGGCGCTTTAGTTGATGATAGAAGGGGTTGGCGCGCACCACCTCTGTTCCCCCCTGCGCCACCCCTGTCCCGACGCCACCCCTGTCCCCCAACCACCACTGTCCCCCTCAGGACCCCAGACCCCCACCACCCCTGTCCCCTTGTGCCACTTCTGCCCCCTCCCCCACACCCCCAGCATCCTGTCCCCCTCTGACCACCCCTGTCCCCCTTGCAACACCCCTGACCACCCCCATAGCAAGCAGGAGGAATGGATAAGTGCTCTTTTCAGGTGGGGAAACTGAGGCTCAGGTCCCAGGAAGGGCTGCCTTTACATCTTGGCCTTTTCAAAGCATGAGGTCCGTGGTCCCCCCGAGCCTGTTTGTTGTCCTACAATGGTGATGACAGATACTCCCACGGGATTGCTGAACAGAAGACATGCTCCTGTCGCTTTGATTCCCAATTTACGGGCTGGGGCGGGGGGGGAGGTTACAATTATTAAATTTCTCTAAGATGTTGGGGGGTGGATTGCCTGAAAGCTGGCATGAAAACGCTTTCCTGAAGTTGCCCATCAGCATCCAGGGGACTTTTTGGGGGAGCACCGGCTGTTCTGGGAGTCCTGCCCCTGCACCAGGTTCACGGAGAGGGCACTCAGCCTGCCCTGCTCCCCTCTTACCCTCCCCCTCAGGGCTCCCGCCTCCCCGGGTGGAGTGGGCAGGTGGTGAGTTTGAACCCGGTTGGCATCATTTTTGATATCCTCAGCCCCGTGGCTCCGTGTCACTGGGGGATTGTTGAGGGTCGCTGGTCCCATGAAGTGTCTACAAGTTCAGGTCAAACTGAGCACAGCCTGACGGCAGACGCGGGCGAGGGCTGAGCATGACGTGGGGGCAGGGCGGGCGGGGAGGCAGGCCTGGGCCCCTCCCCATCAGTCTCACCCTCCTTTCCTTCTGGGGACCTTGTGATTGTCACAAAGCTGGGGAGGCCCACCAGGAATGGGGCTGCGGGGGAAGGACTTGAAGAGGAGTTCTTGAGGATTTTCTCTTGGCCGGAGGTGGGAGGGGCTGGGAGCGTTAAGTCTGCGGAATCTTCTCCACTGTCGGCGCTCCGACTTCCAGAGGTTTGTTCTCAGGGGTCCCGGGCGCTGGTGTGAGCTGCAAGTTGGTGGCGTGTTTGCTTGATGGGGAGGGGAAGCCCAGAGCTCAAGGCTACAGATGCAGATGTGCTGGGAGGGCGTTCTGAAGCCTCTGCCGTGGGTCTTCGCCTGTCCTGCCGCTGCTGTGTGATCTTGGGTAGGTGTCTCAGCCTCTCTGGACCTCAGCTGGTTGATCTGTAAAGACAGGAGGATTGGTCTAAATGATCTCTAGGTTTGGACGCCGGTGCTGCCCGCTCTGTACCTGGAATAGGGCTCCTCAGCGAGGCCGGGGGCTGGTCCGTGGGCTGCTGCTTTCATTCTTGGGCTGATACAGCTTCTATGGGTGATGGGTCGGTTAAGGAAACAGAGGGCATCGATTAGAGCTATACCTGTTTCCTTCCTCAGTGCTCGCCCCTTACCACCATGCAGTCCCTGAAGTAGGTTCTTAATAAGGGCTTCTCGATTGAGTGAACTGAATAGTATAAACCAGTGCCATTCCCTAAAAAGGTCATGCAAGCCTCAGATGTCGTTTTAAATTTTCTAGCAGCCGTTCAGTTTAATGTGCGGCTAAAATGCCATCTCGTCGTCATGAAAAGGTAAAAAGAAACAGATGGAATTAATTTTGAATATGTTTTTGTTAGCCCTTTACAGCCAAAGCGTTATCACTCCCACGTGTAATCAATATAAACAAATTATTCATGAGATCCGTTACATTATTCTTTTCACCGCAGATCTTTGAAATCGGGTGTATATTTATCCTTACTGCCCGTCACGGTCGGGACTAGCCGTATTTCAGGTGCTCAGTAGCCACCTGTGGCCTGTGGCCGCCATACTGAACGGCATAAGGATATCCTCCAGGGCGAGAGATGGGTGTTTGTCTTAATCCGTTCGGGTTGCTGTATCAAAGTACTGTAGACTGAGTGTCTTGTAAACGACAGAAATTTATTTTTCATGGTTCTGGAGGCTGGAGGTCTGAGATGAGGGTGCAGCCCAATCGAGTCCTGGTGGGGGCCCTCTTCCGGACTGCAGACTGCACACGTCTTGTTTATTCTCACTCGGCACAAAGAGAAGCAGCTAGCTCTCTGGCCTCTTCTTAGAAAGGCGCCAATCCCGTTTATGAGGGCTCCACCCTCGTGACCTAGTCACGTCCCAAAGGCCCTGCCTCCAAATGCCGTCGCATTGGGGATTCCATTTCAACATATGAATTTTTTTGGTGGGGAGAACGCAAACATTCAGTTCTTAACGGTGTTCCTACTTATGCTGTGTGTCACTGCAAAAGATGCTTTCTCTCTCTGAGCCTCTGTTTCTCACTGGATGGTTGGACCAGCTGATCTTTAAATTCTAAACTAGAGTCCTTGAATGGTTTGCCTTCATCAAGAAGCATACTTATCATACAGGAATTAGAGACAGTGTAGTGTTGGTGCAGGGCTAAGCAACTTGACCAATGGAACAGAATAGAGAGGCCAGAAACAGCTTCACGCAAAGACATTTGATTTTTGACAAAAGTGGCATTTCTGATCCACCAAGCAAGGATGGTTACTGAGTAAATGACGCTGAGACAATTGGTTATCCACAAGGAAACAGTGAAACTGGAACCCTACCTCACACCATACAGAAAAAGCATCTCTAGCTGGATTAAAGGTTTAAAAGTGAAATTTTTTAAAAAATTGAAAACTTTTAGAAAATATGAAATAATATATTTAGGGCTTTGCATTAGGTAAAGGTTTTCTGAAGGCATAAAAAAGTACAAACCATAAAAGAAAAGTTGGATAAACTAGACTACATTAAAAATTAAGAATATGTAGTCATCAAAAATTGCTGGGAAGAAAGCAGAAGACAAGCCCCAAACTTGGAAGGATGTACCTGCAACACATTTAGCCAAGAAGTAATGAATGTCCAGAATATATAAAGAGCCACAGCAAGAAAAAGACAAATAACCCAAGAGGATATGTAGAAAGACAGTCATTTCGCAGATGAAGAGCACAAATGAGCAGAAAGCGTGAGACAAACAGCTCACTCTCATTGGGGGTCTAGGAAATGCAAAATAAATTCATGATGAGACACTGTTCTTATATTCACTTATGAGAAGTCTGATAGTACTGTGGCAACTGCTTTGGAAAACAGGAATTTTCATGTAAACTTGGCCACGTGCACGTCCTAAGACTGGGCCGTTCTCTTCTGGGCGTCTCCCCTCAAGTTGTGCATGTGTGTGCCAGGGGACGTGCGCCAGGGGACAGGAATCTTCTCAGCAGCATTGTTCGTGGTAAGCAAGACTTCAAGCCAAGGTGACGTCCATCATTGGCAGAATGGTGTGTGTTCATCCAGGGGAATAGTCCCCCCCGTGAAAATGAACTCCGGTTCCGGGGAACACTCTGGATAAATCTGAGACAGGTGGAGTAGAGCAAAGCACAGAAGAAGGTGTGAATCCCATCCCATCACGGGACACTCAAAACCAGGCACACCAACTGTGTCATTTAGGAATGCACAGAAAGGTATATAAAAAGCCAGAAAGTGGTTATTGGAAAAATCAGGTGAGTAGTTACCTTTAAGGGAGGGCAAGAAGGATGCACAGGCTGCTTCTGGTCCTGGCAATGTCCTAATTCTTGCCTTGGGAAGAAAAACACGCTGAATTCTAAGTGTTCCAGAAGAGAGCTCACGTTCCCTAGGGGCGACCCACGTGACTACACCTTGCCGCTAGGGAGGCTGGGAAATGTAGTCCAGCTCTCCGTCTGTGTCCACTGCTGTCTCCTCCGGGCCAGAATGGCACCTGGCATCTGAGTGGGTACCAGCCCAAATCTGTTGAATGAATATTGGCTGTGTGACTTTGGACAAGCGAATTAATCTCTGAAGACATTGGTCCCCTCTCTTGCTTCGTGCAAGGTGACTTTCAACGGCGGTCATTGTGAAACAGCGTTACGGTCGTAAGTGTAGCAGGTACTCCTTAAGACTGTTTTTCAAATCGTGGGAAGTGGGTATAAAAATGAAAGCAGCAGTCGCCTTTCATCCCACTGTCTCGAGATCATCGCTCTTAAACATGTGGGTTTGTTTCCTTCCAGTCTTTTTTCTGTGGATACTCCATAGCTAGCGTCTTATCCTGATTTTTAAAATGTGACCTGCTGTAATCCTATTTCCTTCGTCTTCCAAAACTACTTGCAACCTCCGTTTAACGTGTGCCTAACGTTCCATCTCATCGTCATTCTCTGCTTTATTTTAGTATTTCCCACTTTTGGACACTTAGGCTGTTTCCCAGATTCCGTTTCTGTAACTAACGCTCTCAGGGACATCTCTGCAGCAGTGTTCAGGAGAGTTCTCTGTGCGATACCTACCTGACCCATTGTCTGTTCTGGGCGTTGGCCAAATCCTGTGGGTCACAAGGTCCATGTGATGCTCACTGACCGCCCACTTTGCAGTGACCAGGTCAAGGGGTCCCCACTGGGAGTGGCTCCCACAGCGCAGTTCTTGCCCTGGGGCTTAGAGTTGCTCCTAAGGCCACACAAAGGTCGGAGCCCAGCTTGTGCC